ACGCGAGATTTTAGAAATCCAGTACCCGGGAATGATTGGCATGAGATGTACTGTCTTCTACTGTGAGTGGTACGACAACGTTGATGGTCGCGGAGTAAGCATTGACGCATTCGGTGTTACGTCTGTACATTCGCGACGGCGACTGGATTATTACGATCCATTCATTCTTGCTTCACAAGCTGACCAAGTATGTATTTTATGAAGTATATTTTCCAGCTAAAGTAATCAAATATAATTACTTCGACTTATATAATTTATGATATTTCAGGTTTGCTATATTCGTTATCCTCGGATTAGGCAAAGGAACGATCCTTGGATCGTTGTGATGTCAATAAATCCTAGAAGCCGAGTACAAGGAGTATTTGATCCACTACAACAACGATTAACTGAAGAGGATGGCGAGATTGGAGAGTTTGACGAAGACGATTCAGATTCATCATGTTCATCATCAGATAATCCCTCAGATGCAGAGTAGATCTTTTATGAATGTATTTGCGAATTAATTTGTAGATTTCTTTTAAAACAAATTATATGGAATTGAGGTTTTAAACATTGTAGATTTATTTTTTTAAAAAAAAATATGGAATTGAGGTTTTAAACATTGTAGATTTCTTTTAAAAAAAATTATATGGAATTGAGGTTTTAAACATTGTAGATTTATTTTTTAACAAAATTATATGGAATTGAGGTTTTAAACATTGTAGATTTATTTTTTAACAAAATTATATGGAATTGAGGTTTTAAACATTGTAGATTTATTTTTTAAATGTATTATATGGAATTGAGGTTTTAAACATTGTAGATTCTTTTAAAAACAAATTAAAAACAAATAAATTTGAGGTCTTCGTCGGTTTTCTGTCGGTATTTCCTGACGGAATACCGACGGGATATTGGATTTTGAGGGTTTCGTCGGTATTCCGTCAGGAAATACCGACGGAAAACTGACGGACTTAAGAATTTGAGGTTTTCGTCGGTTTACTGTCGGTATTTCCTGACGGAATACCGACGGACTATTAAATTTGGAGGGTTTCGTCGGTATTTCGTCAGGAAATACCGACGAAAAACTGACGGACTTGGGAAATTTGAGGTTTTCTTTGGTTACAGGGTATGGGTTTTGTTTTCAAAAGGATTAGGGTTCTCATATAAGCTCAGAAAACAAATTTTACCATCAAATCCTCACATTTTAACATTATTAACATGAATTATTAATCATCGAATCAAAAACCGTAACATATAAGTAAATTCATACACTCTTATGTGGGTTATGCTTGATTGCATAAGTTATACTCCTCTACTTAATTTTAATTTCTTTTTGATAAGTTTAATGATTAAATAATATAATGTTTTATTCTAAATGCATTTAACAATTTGTTAATCAATTTTTAAAACAATTTTTAAAGCATTTAACCATAATCCGTCAGTATTTCGTCGGTTTATTCTGACAATTTACCGACGGATCAAGTTTCCCGACGAAATAACCATAGTCCTGTTTCAGCTACCGCTCCATCATCCCACACTCCTACACCAGCCCACACTCCCACCTCAGAAAGCTCAAGAGGAGTATTGCCCACTGTGATGAGCATTGAAGAGTTGGTTAGTCAACCTGGCCGAGACTTGCTCACGCGCCTCGATCCAAATTTTCTATATGTCCCAAACACAACATGGTAAATATCTTTCTTAGCTTTTATTTTATTTTATATTCAACTTCTACTATTAATTGTGTTTGATTTTATTTCGCAGGTTTGAATTGTCTGGCAATGGTATATCTCAGAGTCTTCTTAGGATGGAGTACAACTTGCTAAAGCGTGGTTATCCTACTTACTACGACATGCCTACGGAAGATCGCGACCTCTGGTTTCGTCAATTTGCAGTATGAGTTCTCAATTTTAGTTTTTTTGTAAGTCTTATATTTGCAACATTTTAATTTGATTGTATTTATTTTGCAGCAAGAGTTCACTTGGGAATCGAGGTTAACAAAACAGGTGGAAAAGAAATTTCACGAGAAAGCGGCTCGACACTACACCAAGCGTATCAATGAGTGGAAGCAAAAGTGGGAGATTGGCAAGGTACCGAAGCACATGAACCCAACCGTTTGGAATGATTTGTTGGCTCATTGGGCGAAAGACGATACAAAGTCTATGTCACAAACCAACTCGGGTAATCGGTGTAGTAAGCGTGGCGGGAAAGGGGCTTTTGTCCATAACTTAGGAGCGACGAGTATAGCGACCCGAGCACTTCAGCTAGTAAGTATTTTGATTTTTAATTTCTTATTAATTTTATAATACATGTTACTAATTTTTATTGTTTTTAGATGAAGGAAAACAGCGGGGTTCCCGTCGATGATACTAAGTTGTTGAGGTCCGCCTACACCAACAAAAAAACTGGCGAGATTCAGGATCCAGTTATCAAGGAGGTACTCCAGCTCGTGGAGAGTCGAAAAGAAGAGATCATTTCCACTCAGACTTCTATGTGTGAAGACGGATCTTGCGCTTCTTCCAACACCATAACCGTAGAGCAACTCAACAATCTTGTTCTCGAGGTACATCCTAATTTTTTTTGGAATTAATATGTGTGTATATATGTTGTGATTGTTATTCTAGCTTATATTATTTTTCATTCCGCAGGCGGTTCCTAAGAAGAAAGGCCGTTATGTTGGATTGGGTCGTCCAATTGGAGGGACTTCTTCTTCTTCAGCTCAAGTATACCCACCCGTTGATGACCTTATGGAGCAGATCAAGACCAAAGATTTGGAGATTGCGTTCCTGAAGAATGACAATGCTGAAATCCGGGTTGAGCTTCAGCAAAACAAGACAGCGTTGGACGATAACATAGCTCTGACACAAAGCTTGTTGAAGAAGTTTCAGAACCGCTTTGGTGAAGACTTTTAGTTGTTTTATATTTAAAATCTTTTGTATAACTTTTATGTATAATTTTAAATTACTTATGTTTTTAAATTTTTAATTAGCATTTCATTTTACATTTTAATTTATTTTTCCAATTTTAATTTTTTTTTATAATAAAAATATTTTTCCGACAGGGAAAAACCGTCGGTAAATATTAATATACCGACGAAAAGGTTTGTCGGAATTTTCACAACATCCCGACGGCAACTGTCCGTCGGATTTATTACAATTTTCCGACGACTTGTGTCCGTCGGTTTTATGCAATTTCCCGACGGATCCGTCCCCGTCGGTATTTCTCCTAAATACCGACGGCCTCTGTCCGTAGGTATTTCTCCTAAATACCGACGGCCTCTGTCCGTCGGTTTAATACAATTTTCCGACGGACATCTTTCGTCGGAATGTTTTGTGAATCCCGATGGAAATTTTTTGTCGGTGTTCCGTCGGGTATTAGCTACATACCGACGACTACGACACCAGTCGGTTTTTAGTTTTCCGACGAACATTTCGTCAGTATGGCGTCGGGATTATGGTCGTCGGTATTCTGTCGGAATTTTCTGACGAATTACCGACGAATATATTTTTACCGACGAAATGATACCGACGGCTTTTTCGTCAGGAAATTGTCGGAATTCATGTTTCTGACCGAATTCCGACGATTTTTTCCGTCGGTATCCGGCAGTTTTCTTGTAGTGTATCCTCTAGCCATTCTGCTGCATCAATCACCATATATGTTTTGGTTTTACAAGCTCTGTGCTGAATCTTATTTGAATGTCTTTTTGAAGATTGTGAACTGTTCTATAATAAAGAAAGGAAATAATGATATTACCCCAGATATTCAATAGAAGCTGCCAGCGCCACACGTAGAGCCTACCGACAGTAGAGAGTAACAGAATAATCACACTGGCCTAGGTCTAAAGATTATTCACCAACTTGACTTGCACATATGTTTTTAGGAAAAAAAATTTTCAACTACACAAAATTTACTATAATATGGTGAAAACCATCCAATATATACAAATGTGTCAAAAACTACACAAGGTTTATATTAATACATGTCACATCTATGAAGTAAACTATTATATGGTGGAAACATCACAACCAAGGTTAATTGATTTTACTATAAGTTGATGAGATCAATTTGTAATTTACTAAACTTAACTCCAAATTATTAAAATAAGAAATTAATTTTACTAATTTTATTAATAAAGTTATTAACTTCATTAAGTTTATTAATATTATTTTTTTTTAAATTATTAGGTTTACTAAATTTAATAAAATATTAATTTATTAAATTTAATATATTATTAAGTTTATTATGGTTAATTAGTTTAATTTATTAAAGTTTAGTAAAATTATTATTATTATTAAATTATTAAGTTTAAACTTAATAATTTAATAAACTTAATAAACTTAATAGTTTAATAAACTTGATAGTTTAATAAACTTAATAATTTTTCCAGTTTTAATAAACTTAATATACTTTATTGTTTAATAAACTTAATAAAACTAATAATATATTAAACTTAATACAATTAATAATTTATTAAACATAATAAGTTTATTAAACTTAATAAATTATTAAAATGAATGAACTATTAAACTTATAAATTTATTAAACTTAATAAAATTAATTTAATAAACTTGATTTTGTTAATAAACTTAGTACAGTTAATAAGTTTATTAATAAACTTGATTTTATTAATTGATTTTATTAATTGATTTTATTAATAGACTTAATTGATTTTAATGATTTGGGGTTAAGTTTAATAAATTACAGATTGACCCCATTAACTTAAATTAAAATCAATTAAATTTCATTGTAATGTTCCCACCATATAATCATTTACTTTGTATGTGTCATGTATTAACATAAACTTGGTGTAATTGTTGATACATATTAATAGATTGGATGGTTTTCACCATAATAGAGTAGACTTTGGTGAGAAATTTGTTTTCATGTTTTTCTTATTTTGGGCTTTAAAGAGGCTTATAAATTATTGGAGTATTGGGCCCTTAATGGGCTTACGAACAAGCTCAAACTGTGCTATTGGATCAATTCTACATGCCTGAGAGTGTGTATCAGAGGGGACTTCTTTCGATCGGATTCTCTGGCCTTTCGTCGGAGGTTCTTTGTACGAACTTCTAATTTCAAGAGCTAACCTTGAATTAACTCTCTCTTTTTTTTTTTTGGGGTTCGTTTACATTTTACAACCACAACGAGTTAGTGAAGAGCAACATAGAGAGACTAGGAGGCATTCTCTCATCAGTTCACCGACGAACAGCTGTTTGTCTTCAGACACGACCTGACCTGTGTGTGCTCACGAACGCTAGCGAGATTTGGAAGATAGGGGCTTAGGATTTGTGTATCATGTCAAGTTTGTTATACTGCCGACGCTTTCTCATCAGATCTTCTGGTTCGATTGACTCATCTTCCATTTCGTCGTTTCTGCTGAGTAGAAGAAGAAGAAGAACATTGTGTTCAGTCTCCGATACCAAAACAGAGGATGCTAAAAGAAAGAGACCACCTTTGAAATCCTTTACCGTACAATATCTCATGAATTCATGTGGGTTGTCCTTGGAATCCGCTAAATCGAGGTCTAAATTCGTAAAGTTCTCATCTTCCAAGAGACCTGACTCTGTTCTCGCTCTGCTCAAGAACAACGGCTTCACCTTTGAACAAATCACCAGAGTCGTCAAATCATTCCCTACTATCCTCATAGTGAACCCTGATGCAGTTCTCTTGCCAAAGCTCTTGTTTTTCCGTTCCATCGGGCTAACGAGCTCTGACACAGCCAAACTGATCTCAAACTGTCCCACAACGCTTTCACTTAGCTTGCAAAACAGGCTGGTCCCTTGCTATGATTCTCTCAAGAGCATACTTGTAGATAAGGAGAGTATCCTCAAATGTTTGAGACGTGGGTACTGGATTTTCACGTTGGACACTGTAAAGTACTTGTCTGCACGGCTTTCTCTTTGTAGAGATGCTGGAGTCGAAGATCAAAGCATCAGAAGACTGGTCCAAAATGGTCCACTCGTGTTCTTCTGCTCCGAGAGAAAGTTCAACGAGGTCTTAACCAGAGTACGCAGCTTCGGTTTCGACCCGAAGAAGATGTATTTCATTCATGCTATGTTGGTTTTCTTTCATGTTAGTGAATCCACCGTGGAGCACAAGTTTGAGCTGTACCAACAGTTTGGTTGGTCCAGAGAAGAGTTTGTGGCTGCGTTCATGAGATTCCCAAACTGTGTGAAGATATCGGATGAGAAGATAAAGGGAACCATGGAGTACCTTGTAAACGATGCAGGTCTTGAACCTAGCTCCGTTGCTATGCAACCTTTTGTTTTGGGTCTGAGTTTGGAGAAGAGAATCAAACCAAGGAACATGGTCATCTCTCAGCTTCTGTCTAAAGGGTTTGTCAAGAAAGAAGATTTGAACTACTTCCAGATCCTTAAGGTTAAAGACTGTGTTTTCGTGGACAAGTTTGTTCTGAAGTTTCAGCAGGTTTCTTCTCTCCGGCCATCCCCTTGACCAGAAAAGATATATACACTTCCATTCTTTGTTTTCTGTGTATTGTGGCATGTACTGCATTGTTGATCTCTTGTTGATTTGATTATAGTGGTTTTAACATACTAGTTTCAGATGACCTCAAAATTTGTGGTGTTGTTCATAGAATCATTCATAATATTCTTTAGATATGTAAACATAAACAAAAAGGAGATTTAATAAATATGGTATCTGTTCATAGACTTTCATAAAACAAACAGAGGTTTTAGAGTTATGATGTCCGTTGAGTATAGTTTTGAGGCTTTATCCAGAAGCAGCTACAGACTCTGACAATTCTTCCATAAGTTCCTTTTGTTCCAACGCAGCACAAGCCTGCAATAACCAACGGAACAAGTTTTCAAGTTGTAGAGTTCTGAGACCAAAAAAATGGTTGTAGAGTTTGAAGGTAGGGATTTGACCTGCACTGCATCCTCTAAGCCACCTTCAAGAAATGATGTAAGCGCAAAGTTCATCTTTAGCCTATGGTCAGTCACTCTACTATCCTGTTATTTTCAAGACATCATAAGCATTACAAAAACCATCCAGAACTAACGCAATAAATAATCCGTGTATTTACCTTATAATTGTATGTTCTTATCTTTTCTGAACGAGCTCCAGTCCCAACCTGTTTCCACAATTATGAACATAGAAGATGAATATTGGTTCGATGAGCTTGAATCAAAAAGGTTAAGAGAATGGTATTACAAACGCCGACCTGAGATTTTCTTTGATCCCTTATCTTCTCTTGTTGTTCCCTTAATTTGATTTCATACCTATATATGGCAAATATCATCGCATCACGTCAATAAGAAAAACTGAAGATGAAGAAGAGGAGGCTGAGAATTTGTCCCTTACAGTTTTGCTCGAAGAAGCTGGAAAGCACGAGCCTTGTTTCGTATCTGAGTCCTCTCTTCTGTACAGAAAATGCGTATACCTGTTGGTTTATGGACTAGATCTATAGCCGTCTCCACCTTGTTCACATTTTGCCCTGTACACCAAGACCACTCTTCAGTACATATTAGCAAGTGAAATTGTAAGAGAAATATAAAGTGAACTTCTTTATATTATCCCGGTTTTTAGCCCTGACCTCCAGCGCCACCAGATCTTGCAGTTGTAAGTTCAATGTCCTTGGGGTCAATCACAACTTCCACCTCATCAGCCTATAAAAACAACATACAAAACGTAAAGATGGCAGTTTCAAACTGGTTACTAAGTCTTGAGGATGTCGAAGAGAAAATATGTGAAAGGTAGTTGACCTCTGGCATGATGGCAACAGTTGCTGTAGAAGTGTGTATACGGCCCTGTGTTTCTGTTTGAGGGACACGCTGGACTCTATGAACACCTGATTCGTATTTTAGCTTGCTATACACCCGATTTCCTTTTATTTCCATCACACACGTCTTGTAACCTCCATGTTCAGCCTTATATAGTAGTAGGAAGATATTACAAGTAATGTAAGTGACCCCATGTCTCTAAGTTGCTGCAATGTTCTTTCAAAATGCCAGAAAATAGAGCTTCGTACCTCCGAGCATGAAACCAGAGAAAACTTCCAAGAGCTGCGCTCGCTGTACCTCTGATACATCCGCACCTGTAATAGCAGAGTGATTCACTGTAAGATATAAGGCTTTAAATTACTGTATTTTCATAACCGATGAAGTATAGGATCAATCACAGTTTAAGGGGTTTTTAAGAGAAACAAAAATAGTGAATAACCATCAGATTGCCTTTTAAATTAGTAATAGGCGTGGAGATCACAAGACCCTGGAATCAGAATGAATAAATAAAGGGAAGCATGTACCTACAAGGTCACCAGTCCAAATAGCAGCTTCATCTCCACCAGTTCCTGCTCTGACTGCAGAAAGAAGTAAACTTTTTAAACTGGTCCATAAGTACTTGTCAACATTACATTTAGTCAGTTATACCTTCGAGCAATATGTTTCTGGCATCAAGAGGATTGGTAGGAAGAAGCAACATCTGCCACAAGCAACACACAATGTTACAGTTTGAAGATTCGAAACAAGAGCGACACTTAAACTCAGCAACATCCGACAGAGCAATGGAACACAAGTACAAGAGCATTGCCTAGTAGTTACATGATGAGAAGTAAAAAAGTGGTGAAAGTAAAACCTTAAGTTGTTTTTCAAGCTCCTCAATTTCTTTAGAGAGTGAGCTGATTTCAGATCCTATCATTTCAGCCATTTCTTCATCATCTCCAGCCTCTTTAGCCAAAACTGAAGCAAGAAAACCAATCAAAATCAGTCTCCAAGTAGCAAAAAAAAGAAGAAGCAAAAGTAAAGAAAGGAGGGGAGAATTGAAGGAACCTTTGGATTCTTGTAACTGCTTCTCACAGTCTTTGAATCTCCTGAATACGGATACAACCTAGGAATAATCCAAACAGAAGTCAAATATTAAGAAACCCAAGAAAAAAGTTGCAGTAACAAGAACCTCGTCAAGCTCGGACATGGACTGAGCAAATTTTTGGTACTCAGAAGGATTAGACACAACATCCGGGTCAGCTAGTTTTACCTACAGTTAGAATCATTCAAAACTCGTAAAGATGTTTCCACAGAGAATGTAAGAGAGAACATAATGGCAAGAAGAAGGGTAAGGACATACAGATAACTCCTTCCATGTCTTCTCAACTGACTCCATTTTCGTAATTAGGTACGGTTCCTGTAAAAAAATCATCAGCTTATTATAAAGTATGTCACTGCAAAATCGAACCCAAAACTAAAAACTTTGGATAAGTCCGAGGTTACAAGTCACTTACGGCCATACAGACAAGTCGTGGAGTTCTGCGAGACGGTGAAGGCGGTCTTAAACATACTCCTGCCGGTGGCTGCCTCGAACGTAAAATAAACGGTGAATGAGAGTGAAGATGCACGAAGGGTCGAGCCACTGGACTTGCGGTCATCGAGCAATTCATCTCGTTAAGAGAGGTGGTGGAAGAAGAAGAAGAAGAGTGGCGCGTGATTCTTCTGCTGGATAAGGAAGAAGCGTTTAGAGTTTAGAATACGTGTTTGCCTGTGAGGATAATAGTATCTCCGTTATACTGACCGGAGAAGAAAGCCCGTCTTCAAGTTATGATGACTTATATATTGGGCCGTAAAATAAATAAAAAAAACATATTTCAACAGCAGTTAAAGAGTATTGTATATTAACGGTTATAAACCAACATAAACAACAATGACTTCATGGCCCAATGGATAAGGCGCTGGTCTACGAAACCAGAGATTCTGGGTTCGATCCCCAGTGAAGTCGATAAAACTTTTTTCACATCCGGTCTAAATTTTCGAAACCTTCTGACGCATACGGAAGCTTTCTGCTGACGGAACCTTTTTTGTTTTTTTGTTTTTGTTTTGGTTGAAAAGAGTCTCAAGCAGAAGCAGAAGCAGCAGCAGCAGCTCCTCAGTTTAATCTCATTCCGGCGACGATGTCTATATACAGGATCGCTAGAGCCTTACCCTTCTCAGGTCTCTTCAGGTTCGTTCAAACTTTCATCTTCTATTACCTTGTTCTCAATTGCTCCGTTTTACTCTCCGGTGATTCATTTATCAATTATATAATTGCTTGCATGTCGGCGTAAAGCGCCTCCTTTCGATGGCATCAATGAAAGATTCGAGCTTTGAACCAATAACAACTTTCCTGTGCGTTTCTGTTGAAATGCTAAGATGTTGTTTTTACAGGCAGCTTGAGAAAGAAGCCGAAACTGTGATCAGTGTTCTGCAACCTGGTCCATTGGGAATCATAGAACACAAGTTCACGCCTCAAGAGATTCGTCAGGCCAAAGCTACAGTGTTTAGAGCAGTAGATAATTGGCGAAGACATTCTAAGCTTGACCATGCTAATGGCGTTTTAAATCATTTCATCTATAAGTGAAAAAAGTGAGTGCATCTCCACTTTTGTTACCCTTCATTTTCATGGTTTATGAATAAAAGTTCCGTTCATTATGTTAAACAGTCCTTAAAGATTAATGTTTATGTATTAGTTTTGAATAAGCATTGCTGATACGGTTTTTATGTGTTTACACAAATTTTGATATAACAAGTATGATTAATAGAATACACAACTTCTTGATCTTAGCACCAGGGTTTGTGTGACTACTACACACTTGCACTTGTTGTTGAAAACATAACAGTGCATTGTGGTAGAAACCCGAAACCCGAAAAAAGGCAAAACAAAGTAGTATATATTCTTGTTATTATTATTTACTAGTTGCATTATTTGGAGTCAAACCCATATGGCTCCGGCTCTTCTTAGCAACGCGGTTAGTTGGTTCTTCACTTGGAGAGACATTACCTGGTTAGCACCACCAATTAACTGTTCCCCTATGAACACAGCTGGTACACTCGGCGTACACCCCATTTGTACCAATGCTTTCTCCACCTCCTGTCCATTTGACAACTGATCAAGCTCGTACACTGTCATCTTTGCTCCAAACCCTGAGATCAGTGTTTGGATTGAATGGCTCATGCAGCAAGTGCTTTTGCTGAATATCACCACTGGTTTCTCTGCAACTAGACTTCTAATGCTTTCCATTGGATGTAGGTAATATGAGGAATGTAATACTTAGTGTGTAAGAGGGATCCTTTTGTTTGTTTTGGGTTTGATGTTATACAACGTAAGTCTATTTATAGTGTATTTAGATGTTGGAAGAAGGGGTAAATCAAATCTTTGTCACTGCTACTTTACTACCTTTTGTTCCTTCCCCGGTGATGTGTCCTTTGGCGTTCACTAAAAACTGCATGAACTTAGATTCTTTCTTTTTTTTCCAAATATTAAAACCAAGTGGCATATACAGTTCATGAGAATCTTCTCTTCTTCTTTTTTTTTTGCTAAATACGGAAATATCCTTGCCAATGGTTTAGTAGTGATCCACAGATCCAAGGTGGTATGTAAATAGTGTGATTAGGTATACACTATGTTGCTTAATCTTTTTGTTGCAATATCTTTTTTGCTTTTGATGCATTTACTGAGGTGGAGATTAGATTATGGTTTATCCAGTTAGATGCCCATCTTTTCAAGCCACAGTGGATTCCCCCACACAAATTTCAGGCTCAAAAGATTGTCTCTGAGATACTTTTCTGCTTGTATGACCTGGAGTCTATAGAGCAAATGAATGTATGATCAGACCCAAAATCTTGCTTTTAGCTTTTACACCATTTCTCAAGTTGTGTATTCACAAACTGCCAGAGTGTATCTGAATCTGAGAGTTTGTCTTAACTCTTTTAAGAGGTCTTATATCTTGTTGCATTGACTCACAGAAAGATAAAGAAGCCACCAATCCATTTCTATGGATTCTTGAAACCACATTTGGAAAATCCACAGAAATGAGGAATCTTTTGGTAGTAGATTCGTGATAAGGCCATGTGTCATATTTTTCACCATGATTGACTTAGCAAACACTTATCACTTATGATAATAACAAGAGCATAGATTCTTCATCATATATTCTCTTCCAGATCTCTAGAACAGTCTACTACCAAATTGGCTCCCAGAATTGCCCAAAGGTCATCATAATATATGTTTCTTAGTGTAATCTTCTCCCCAGAACGGCTACATTGGTGTTATTATGTAATGAAAACTTGAACCTGTATTAGAATAAGTATGCTTCTCACCAAGGAAAAATAAAAGTTACAGTGTAGGTTCTCTGAACGCCAAGAAACATTAAACAATGGAAATTCAGTAAATAATTTGATACAAACAGAAGTACTCGTCTCATAAAAGCTTGAGAGAAGGCCTCCATCATCAGGTGATGTTCTTGACGAGAGAATTATAATGTTCACCTAGCCCAAAAGCATGCCGGTGATACGATAACATAAGGCTCGAGTCATTATTGTTAGATTTATACTCTTTGCCCATTTCAACATCAGGAAACGATCCTGAAAACACCATTATGTGTCTTCTCAAGCAATGTGTCAACGCCCCTAGCTCCAGCTGACCACCCCAAGCCGCCGTTGACTCGACTTCCCTGCAGTATTTCTCAAACCGCTCCTCCGCAGACTCAGATTCAGACTCGGTTTCTGATAAGAAGAACGGGATGAAATCTGTTTTGTGCTCTCTCATGTATGCAGCAGCCATTTCTCTTAGCTTCTGGTACGTGTAAGGAGATGCAACGCCTGAGAGATTAGCAAGCTGGTTCTCTACTGCTCTGTAAAGGCAATGTCCGTCTGGTTTTATCTCGCTGACGGTTAGACCCAGCGGTTTAAGCTTCTTTTCGATCTTTTGGTTCTCCACCATACGATCACTTGTCACATTGCTTTGCTCCTCTTTGATTCTCTGCTCTCTATCCGCTTCTTCCTTGGCTCGTTTCTCTCGTCTCTTCACGCTCTTGCTAGGCTTTGAGTGTTCTTGCTGAGCAGTGACTGAGACTCCAGCGATGGCTCGCACTAAAGTGTCGATATCTCCTTTCTTCTCATTGGTTTCGTCCTTGGAGATGTTGCTGTTACTGCTGCTGCTGCTGCTGAAACCTTGTGAGGCGAGCTCTTTGAGATGTTTCTCCTTGAGCTTTGTGGAGAGTTTAGAAATGTCTTCTTCGACTTGCTTCTTCTTTGCTTTCTGCTCAGCTTTGCTTCCTTTTGCAGCAGCCTTTTTCAACTCCGTCTCCTTGTTCTGTAATTGTTTGATCTCTTGCCTAACCGTAAAACAACAACAACATTTGTGTTAAATCAATTCAGGTAAAAAAGGTTTGACAAAACTGAAACTTGCATTGAAGAATAAGAAAAACACTAAGTGTGATGGTGTTGTTACTTGTTACCTGTGCCTAGCAAGCATCTCATCGACCGTTTCATGTTGCTCCCTGGTGGTTTCATCCTTAGTGTCTGCCATTTAAGGAGGTCTAACAATACACCCAAAAACGTAAATCCCGATGAAATTTAAGAGCAAGGAACATGATTTTGTTGCAAGTATCAGTTTGGTCCACAATTTTTAAATATCAGAATAATAACAGAAACCCCAGAAAATAAACAAGATCGAAACACATTTGACCAATTCAATAATCTTCTACCAAACACTAAATAAATTAGACAATAAAATAACCCCAAACTGAAACCTACAGTTCTAACTGAATTAACGGTTTCGACTTGCAAACAGTGATACGAGGAACCAAAGTTCGTACCTTTGATCGAAGGAGAAGAACCAATTTGTGATTTAGGACTTACTGCCAAATAAAAGAAAAAAAAAAAGATTTGTCCAATGGAAAATAAAACTAATTGGGCTATAGATTAAGTAACAAATCAGTGCAGCTATATTTATTGGGCCTTGCCCATTTAGATACGAAATTACGATCAACATATATATATATATATATATATATATATATATATATATATATATATATATATATATATGTGATAATTAATGATTTTAAATAATAAAAATTTGATAATAGCTTTTGTATCCTCCATCATTTTTGTTTGATTTATATTATTAAAAAATAAGCAATCACATTAACCATATAATAAAAATCTACATTTTTCTATAATTTATAAATTTTTTTTTTTTAAAACAGCTATAAATTACTAAAAATTAAAAGTCTTACAATGAAAATTTTGTGAACAATTGTTTTATTTTTTTGTTATAGAAATATAGAAATCCCCTATATATTAATCCTCGAGCATTACAACATATTTTCCTAGCAACGTGTCATCATTAAGATAATTCTCATAATCCTTATAAAAATAAGTTGGTCCACATAATTATATATTATAATTTTATTAAACTAACTATCAAATTAGTTATTAGTGTACAAAAGAATATTATTTTTTTTCTTAAATAAAATCTATAGACTTACATAATATGATTAACATTTATATGATAATTAATGATTATGAATAATACATATTTGATAACAAAATTTTTTGTATCATTTCTCCCTTCTTTTGTTTAATTTTACATTATTAAAAATAATTGAATAATCACATTAAGCATATAATAAAAGGTTAGATTTTTTTATATGTTATATTTAGTATTTTTGAATTGACTATAAATTACTAAATATGGTAAAACTCTCACACTGAAATTTTTTGATCAATGGTTTAACTTTTTCTTTGTTCAAATAATATACAAATGATTATAAATCATAAATATGAACTCTCATTAATATGCTAATTTCAAAATCTAAAGTGAAAATTTATTGAGATTTAATTTTTTTAATTTGAAATTCGTATTGGAACAATCTCAAATTTATTTTTTGTGATTTATATAAATGTTAATAAAATCATATGAGTTGGAAGTGTCAATAGTAAATAGAAATTAAATATATATATATATATATGTCAATGTCAATAATTTTTAATTATATACAATATAGGTATTAGTTTTGATTTATGTGATTACTCTAATGTGTATACTTTTATGTATACAAATTAATTTTTAAAAATGTAGTTTCTAATATATTAGTTGATCCTGACAAACCGTGAATTACACTTCTTCAAATTGAAGTGATTTTTAATACTGGAAGCACTATATATATTATATCATTCAAATTAAATAATTTAGCCTTAATATTTATTCCTAAAAAGTTTTTAATGAAATATCATGACCAGTCTAGTCACTTTTTTGCGTTTGTTCGAAAAATGAGAGATTTAATCATTCGTCTAATATTTATTTATCCATAATACCCAGGTATTATAATTTATCTGAACAAGACTTATGATCTTAGTACTTTGGGATTTGGTTATAATCTGAACTAAATCCGAAAATATCTGAAATTAGTATACTATGTTAATATGATATCAAAAAAATGTTAATATTTTTTTTATATATCAAGGTAATTTATATTTTTTATTGTATTCAAAAGATTTTGTAGTTTGTTTTATTTTATTTTTTAATTTTGAATATTGTTTAGTTAGTTTAGATAGCTTAACTAATTTTAAATTAGATTTACTAATAATTTAAATATTTTGACAATTTCTTTGTTAATTTTGAGGTTTCAAAAATATTTTTTGGGATGATTTCAGATTTTGGTTACAGTCCAATCCAAACCGAATTCGGAAGGAACCAAACCGAAAGCAATCCAATAATTAGAAAAACATGAATGAGTATGAAAAGCATAATACCAAAAATTTAAAAATTCTAATCAATTGAACCCAAACGGAGGATCTCCGATTTTCCAGAAATATCATATATTTAAGAGATCAATATTTGTATTTTTATTTTAAAATCGATAAAGATTATAGTATTACAAAATGTTAAAACCGAACTAACATTAATATATAAAAAACTCACCCCGCGCATGCGCATAGGTATCATATAGTATGTTACTAATGGAGAAGTAAATTTAGAAATGTATTCATTAGTAGTGTAAGATTAATATACATAAAAAAATTTGAGTTATCATTCTTAATATGCCCTAAAATGACACTTCTTATAGGCATGAGAGTTCGGTAGCCCATTCGGTATCGATCCGAGTGATTCAGATTTTCAGATTTTCAGATTTTCGGTGTTATATTCATAAGTACCATTTTGTTTTTACTAGTTATCGGATCGGGTTCGGTTCCTTCCGGGTTCGGTTCGGATCGGATCAAACCAATGTTTAAAATCGTCCAAAAATATTTTTTTAAATCCTCAAAAATTGACAAATTTTTTTTCAAAATATATAAATTATTTACAAATCTAATTAAAAATTAGTTAAACTATCTAAATTAACTAAAAATATTCAAAATAACAAATAAAACAAACTACAAAAACATTTTTAATACTCTAAAATAGCTAAATCACCTTAACATATATAAAAACATTAACATATTTAACTAGTTTTGGATATCTTTGGATCCTAATTCGGATTTTGGTTTGGTTTGGGTTATAACCAAAGTCCAAAGTAGTAATCTCATAAGTCTCGTTCGGATATTTTTGTAAAACAATTCGGATTTGGTTTTTCCGGTTCGGGTTAAGGTCGGTACTTCGGGTTGAGTTAAAAACGCCCAAGCCTACTTCTTATATAAGATTTGTAGCTGTACTATGATAGTATTAGAAAGCCCCATACTTATTGATAATAGGACTTTTCAAGGGTTCTAGTCAAATGTTGTAATATAAAAGATGTCAAACCACTTCTCAGTGATTAATAACCAAAGGGAGTACAAGACCATGCTTAATCTAAGTGCTAATAATTGGTGAGAAGTAAGAAAATACTAGTTAAGCAATAAAGATCACAGCTTTCTTTCTAAATGAGATGAGAGAACTCATGGGATAAAGGAATTGATCTTGGGTGATTAAGTTTCAATCTAAAGGTGGAAGCTTTTCAATCTATGTATCAACCTTAGGCCTAGACACAATCCTAAACAAACTCTATCGCTTAGAGGAATGTTCATTTGCAAAGATAACTTAAGCATCTAATCTCTTAGGTTGAATATTATCTAAGCAATCATTAAAATCTAGTCTACTAGCCATCATAACACCTTTAACAACAAATCTCTTTGGTAAAGAATGTTAAAAACACTGGAGAGTTGTTTCAGGTATTTCATCATACACCTTTAGGGCATGAAATACCTAAAGCTCAATTCTAGAGAGGCCAACTCTAAAATAGCATTAAATTCACTCTACAGGAAAGGAACAAGATGGATCTATGCTTAAACACCTTAGATCTAGCTTAATCACTCTTTGATCTCCCTAACCCATGAATCCTAAGATGACTACTCACTAATCACCATGATTACATTTAATCCTATGAAGAATTTAAGGTTAATCATGATTAGAAAGCAATGATACACTTAAGAAATCTCAAGAACACAAGATATAAGATGAAACTTAGATTAAAGGAATAAACTTTCACCAAAATGTCAAGTGTTTAAGAGAGAAAAAAAGATAAGATCATAGGATCAGATCTAAAAAGTATTTATAGTACCCTAAAATCAAACTGGGCCAACCTAACAAACCTAAGCTGGCCCAAACAAAAGTGAGAAAAAGGTCTGGTTAAACACGAAATGTTGACTTTTGTACGTTCACAGCGGCCTACGGAGGCCGCTGCATCATGCCGCTACAGGGCTTCAGCGGCCCTTTTTCTCTCCATATGGCTGCTCCACAATGCCGCTGCAACACCTAGTCTGTGTAGGCTCCCATTTCCTTCGTTTTGATGTCATTATGCCGCTGCGACATACCGATTTTGAACAGGGAAATGAGATTTTGGAGGCGTGTACAGTGGCTTCCTCTAACCGCTGCCATATGCCGCTGGTGAACTTCGTCTCTAGGCCGCTGTGATGTCTCCAGGCCGCTGGGAGACTTGGTCATTTGAACTCACGCTCGAGAATCAGCTAGTCTTTAAATCACTTTCAAAAGCTCCAAAGTAGTCATTTTGCATCTTCAATACCTGATAAGGACATATGCAATGCAAATGCATCCTAAACATGTCTAAATAAAGTCCTAAATGTAAAAACAAACAAGATGAGAAGGTTAAAACCATGCAAATATGCTATACATCACTTATCTTTGTAGTCTTGATTCACTAATAATGGGGAAAGATTTATTTCTCTATAAGGAAAAATTCCAAAAATAGTCAATTAAATTTTGTTAACTTTTTTTAATATCTAAATTTTGTTGCTATCCCATGTAAATAGGGATGTGCACTTTGGTTATTTATCGGTTCGGTTTGAGTATGGTTCAGTTTGGTTAATTTGGTTCTAGAATTTTTTCAACTGAAATAAACCATAATTAGTATGGTTAGGATTGATTTTGGTTTGGTTTGCATTCCGCTTGGTTTGTGTTTCATTTTGGTATAATCGGATTCCTTTAATTTAGTTTTTTAAGAAAAAAAACTATTTTATTAAACAGAAATACAAAATAATACTTTTCTAAATTTAAGTGTTTTTTACAACTTTCACTTTCTTTTCCAATACATTTTAAACACTTCATTTATTATTTGATCCAAATAATTAGACAACATCTATTACAAAGAAAAAAAAGACAGAAACTACATGTTTAAGTAGTTTATTACATTCATCTTTTCACTACATGTTTGAGTTTTGAAATCAGGTGCGATTAAGTATTATAAATTTTTGGGTGTATTTTGAGTCGGTAATCCCAAGTTTGCATGGATTCAGTTATGATTATATGAATCTAAAACTAGCCAAATAACCAGTAGCTTCAGATATTTGTACTAAAAGTAACTATATTACTCGATTCGGTCCAGATCTTTTGAATACAATTAATTAT